TTGTTGAGGCTAGTGAAGTCTACGCAGACCTTCCATTTACTGTTCTTCTTCTTTACCACCACTGTATTAGATAGCCATGTAGGGTAGTGTACTTCTCTAATGGCCCTGGCCTCTAGGAGCCTGTCTACTTCTTCTTCTACTACTTCAACGTGCATCAAAGTCAGTCTTCTAGCTCGTTGAAATACAGGTTTAGCCGACCTGTCAACATTCAGTTTTTGGCACGTGACCTTGGGGTCAATGCCAGGCATTTCGTAAGGTGTCCAAGCAAACACCTCAATATTTGCTCTCAAAAAAGTTTCCAACTCCTTTTTCCTCTTCTTCGGCTTAGCCCGAGCCGAGAAGAAAGAAGCGTTCTTCATCACCATCCTGGACGAGGATTTTCTTCAGTGCCTCTTCGCTCTTCTCGGCAGGCTCTTTGCCGACATCTTCTAGGACTTCCACATCCTCATCTTCAATTTCTGCCTTCTCTGGTTCTCGCACGCTGCAGGTAGATTTCATTGCAGCCATGGAACAATTCTTCGCCTGCAGCTGATCGCCTCTGACTTCTTCTATCCCATGCTCTGTTAGGAATCCCAATAGTTGATGCAATGTTGGGAGAACTGCCCCCGTTGCATGCAACCACAGCCTCCCCAAGATGATGTTGTAGGGGGAGGATGTGTCGATGATGGTGAATTCTGTCTTGATCTTCCTGGTGCCAGCCTGCACCTCCAAGCTTACTGCTCCCAGAGGCCATGTCGGCGTTCCATTGAACCTAACCATTGGGCCATTGGACTGTTCCATATCATCTTGGTGAAGGCCGAGATCTTTGTAACATCAGACGTACATGATGTTGCAAGTGCTGCCTTGATCAATCAGGAAGTGTTTCACTTGGCACTCCCCAACCTGGAGGGATACTACTAAGGCATCATTATGCGAATGCTGGACTATCTCTAGGTCGGCTTCAGTAAAAGTTATCATTGGTCCTTGGCATTCCTCTGCCCGATGTCTTTTTTTCCCGACTTGGTAGACATGTTGCAGGTGCTTCACTTTCTGGGTCTCTCCTCGGATTTTGTTTTCGTTGACCTTCGAGTGGATTACGTTGATTATCCGAGGTCCTTCTGCCTGCGGCTGTTGTGCTGGGGGAGGTGGGGCTGCTGGTGCCTAAGGCAATCTTGCCCGTTCTTCTCTTGTTTTGGTCTCATCGATAAGGCCTCTCAGATGTGCTTGTCTCACCAGATCTTCTAAATATGTTTTTAGGGCTCTACAACCCTGAGTTGTATGGCCATCTTCATTATGGTAGGCACAATGCCTGCCAATGTTTCTTCCCATGAATTCTCTTGGAGTCCGTTCTGGTGTTCTGAAATAGGGCTAGTTCCGAATTTGATCCAGGACTTTGGGAATTGGGATTTGGAACACAGTTATTACTGCTAGTGTGGCCCTCAGTTCTACCTCTTGCCTGCTCGTTCCGTTGTTACCTCGGCCTCGCTTCGGCGAGCCTTTTCCTTTCTCTTGTTTTATCTCCTTGGTTCCCGACGTGTCTTCTTCAGCTCTGGCGTACTTCTCGATTCTCACCATGAGCTCCTCCATACTTTTTGGCAATATTTTTGCCAGAGATTTTCGTAGTGGACAGTTGTCTTTCAAGCCGTTCTTGAAATATACGACTGCCACCTCTTGATTACATTCGGGTATTCGATTGAACACCTCATAGTATCTTTTTGCATAGGCCTTAAGGCCTTCACCCTTGCTGATCTTCAGAGCCATTAATGCGTCCACCCTTAATGGCTGCAACTTGTTTGTCACAAACCTGGCCACAAACATCTCGACCAGGCCTTCCCAAGTCTTCACGCTTCTCTTCAGTAGTTTGTGGAACCAATCTGATGCAATCTCTCCGAAGGATGAGGGGAACACTTTGCAGAGCAACGGCTCATTTCCACTATATATTGTCATTGAGTTCAAATAGAGTCCAACGTGGAAGTTGGGGTCTGACTTACCATCGTATATTTGAAACCTTGGCATACTGAACTGCTTTAGTGCCTCAAATCTGTCTAATTCCACCGAGAATGGTGTCCTCGGCTTATCTGGGGAGTTTACCTCGGCGTAGGCATTCTGTTGCTTTCTTTTGAGGTAATCTCTTAAGTCTTCTTTGCTCCGCCCAGGAGCTCGGCTATCTTTCGACTTTAGTCTTTTCGGTATACTACTCTCGGCCTCGCGGTGAGCCCTTTTCAACCCTTCTCCGTGAGTTGTGTCGAAGCACAGTGCCTGCCCCTGAACATGCCGATGTCCTTTGGGGTCTGCCTCCTTTGTGCGATGCGTCCTCCGTGATCCTTTTCTTTTTGATTCTTTTCGTCCGTCCTCCCGAGAAGGTCGGTGAGAGTATCTTTCGTCTCCGTTGTGCTGAGGGGCTACGGGGATTGTTTTCTGTCCTCCCTTCTGGGTATTGGCCGCTGGAATCGGCGTGTCATGCAGTGGGTATGGTGGTTGCATGACGTTATTTTGTATCATGAAATTGATAACCGACTGCAGGTCTGCCAATTTGTTTGCCATCTCTTTTACCTCTTCGTCCCTCCGTAGGCACCTATCCTTCCAAATCTGGAGGTCGTCTTCGTTGTAGTACCTGCTTTGTTCAGGTTTCTTTGGTACGTCGTTAGTTTGGCCAACGTCTTTCGCTCTGTGATTTTGTTCATGAGTTTCTGCGTTCGACCTTTCTCCTTCGCCATCAAGGTCAATAGGTCTCCCACTCTTAGTAGGAGTGTCGTCCCTAATCTTTTCCTTCTGTCTGTTACTGGCCATCTATTCTACTTTCGTTCCCACAGACGGCTCCAAATTATGTGGGTGATTTTCTGATCACACTGCCCGACTCAATATTTAGCTGGAGAACACTGGCAGAATAGATGACACCTGGCTAACCTGCAACAGAAAGAGAAGATTTCGGCGGTGGTTTCGACCACCCGGGGGCACTCTGACGATCAAGTCAGTATATCTCTCAAAGATAATCAATAATGCTAAACTCAATGCTCAAAGCATAAGATTGCGTACCTTAGACCCACGAGGGTGCCTCTCTTTTATAGTTACCTCAATCCTAATCCCAGTAGAGGGGTGACTTCTATTGATTCCTGTTCAGTACTTACTTTGGACTCCTTAAGAAATAAAGATAAACTCTCTAAGAGCTTTATCCTTGTCTTGGCTAAGTCTCCTCTTTTTTCTAGGACTCTTGTCCCTTATCTCTTATCTGCTTATCTCGGATTCTGATATCTTCAGAGATAACCTCAGCTTGACCGAGATCACCTCGGCGTTATGACCCTGACACGTAACACTTCGGCTGACACGTCGGCGTCACCTAGCCACGTGTCGGTGCTCAAAAATATATCCCCACAATATCATAACTAGTGTTGGTGTATTAGTTAATAAATTAATTAGTGCATGTAAAACCACCGAATATTTTAACTACATAATTTTCCAAATTAGTGCTCCTTTACTTGCTCCTATATACTTTCCAACTAATTGACCCAAAAAAAAGGCAATTTACACCCCAAGGCAGTGATAAAATACCCCCAAGAAGCAAAAGATTATGATTCTAAACTATCTAAATAATTTTTCATCTAGATGTCCCTCCCAAATTTGTGATTTGTCCACATAACAACATCAATCAAATTTTAAAAATTTGATGTAAAGAATTCGAGATTTTTGTCAATTAGGAGCGCACAAAAATTTTTAAAAAAAAATTAAAAAATAAGAAAAAAAAAACATCTGATGTCAGGGCCATGATTAGAGAGTTTCTAAATATTTTCATCAATAATACACTTATATGCACAAATATTTTTATTAAGGTACAAACTTTTAAATATATATAATATAATATAATGAATATTAAGCAGTCGGAAGAATTGCAGTTCAATAAATTTTTTAAAAATATTTAAAATTTTAATTATTAATATTTATAAAATTAATCACTGATAATTTTACATTGAATTACTTTTTCATTTTACTAATCCTTATTTTTTAGAGTTTTTTACCAGTCAGTCTCAATAATTGAATCTATTACTCATTAGGTCGTAAGTTTCTATCTCATGCACCAAGAAGTCCTGTTATATTTTTTTATTCTGATTTTGTCCCTGCTATTATACTGCCAGAGCCATTGATGAATTAGTGGTGTTGGTGAACATGAGAACTGCCAGATCCATTGATGAATTCGTTGGTGTTGGTAAACATGAGAACTGTCTCTGTGGCCCTTGGATTTGAGAGAGATGGTGTTAGATCTGAGAGAGATCAAGAAAATCGACATGAATAGAGATAGGATGTGTTGACATTGACGAGTTCCAGAGCCATTGATGAATTCATTGGTGTTGGTGAACATGAGAACTGTCTCTGTGGCCCTTAGATTTGAGAGAGATGATGTTAGATTTAAGAGAGATCAAGAAAATCGGCATGAATGGAGATGGCTGTGTCGACATTGATGAGTTCGAAGCTCTGCATTGTTTAAACTAGTAATAAATTTGTTTAAACTAGTGATAAATTTGTTTAAACCAGTAATAAATTTATCATTGATGAATTTGTTAAAAAATTTACACATAGCAGACTTGATTTGAGAGAGAGATGGGGCATCACAACAAGTTTATCACTGAATTAAGTAACAAATTTATCAAATCAGTTACACGTCTGTAGAAGGTCAACAACACCTTTCAATGCACTGATTGAATACTTTGCATCCCAAACCGGTGATGGAGGAAAATGGTGTGGCAATGATGATGTCAAAGATGGTAGATCGATGATGAAGGATTACGATGTTGAAGTTAACAGATGAATGATGGGGGAGGAACAACGATGATAATAACGAAGGAGAAGGAGATGCTGGTTGGTGATGGAGGAGGAGGAGGAGGAGGAGGAAAAAAAGGTGTGCCAGTGACAGAAATAGAAGAGAGGGAGAGAGAGAGGGGGATGTGTTTTGGTTTAGGATAAAATCGCTCAACTGAATGTAAGGGGTAAAAATGCACTGATTGAATACTTTGCATCCCAAACCGGTGATGGAGGAAGATGGTGGCAATGACAATGTCGAAGATGGTAGATTGGTGATGGAGGAAGATAGTGTGGCAATGATGATGTCAAAGATGGTAGATCGATAATGGAGGATTATGGTGTTGAAGCTAGCAGATGAATGATAGGGGAGGAACAAAGGTGATGGTAACGAAGGAGAAGGAGATGATGGTTGGTGAAGGAGGAGGAGGAGGGGGAGAAAATGGTGTGTCAGTGACAGAAATAGAAGAGAGAGAGAGAGAGAGAGAGAGAGAGAGAGAGAGAGAGAGAGAGAGAGATGTGTTTTGGTTTAGGATAAAATCACTCAACTAAATGTAATGGGTAAAAATGGAAGATGGACTAAATTATTTTGGGTCAGGACTTTCTAGGAATTAAGTTCGGTCTAAAGGTCGGCTCATAACTCCTCCTATTTTTTATGTCCTGCATGCATGCATCCGGAGATGTATAATAAAAAATTAAGAAAAATATTATGAATTTTAAATAATTTATCAATTTTTTTATCAAACTTTTCATGTATAACTCAATCAAACCTGAATCTCACATCATATGAGATAGTTGATAAAAAATTTAGTAAATTATTTAAAATTTCTAACATAACTCTAAAATTAATTTGACATAAATTTAGTGGTGTTTTGAAAAAATAGTAAAAAGTTAACTTTTTAACTTTTTTTATTATTTAATGTAAAAAATGATACGACTAAAAATTGATAAAAAATTAACTTTTAACTTTTTTTAATCCTTTTTCAAAACACCCCTTAGTATGGATATCCTGTTCCTCTCACGGAATTGGACGAAGAGAATGAAAATTCCACATGTAAATGTTCTATTAGGGGAGTACTGATTATTCCGATAATGCGATGGCCCAATGTTCTTTGATCAGTTTGTATTGCAAATGCAACGAGTTAGGCAGTGCATATCAAGTGTTTGTTTGACGAAATACCTGTGAGAAATGTAGTCTCATGGACAACAATGATTATTGGGTTTGCACAAGAGTGGAAGATTGATTTGTGTTTGGAACTCTACCATCGAATGAGAAATTCAACTGCGAAACGAAATGAGTATACTTCAACTGCGAAACGAAATGAGTATACGCTAACTAGCCTTTTGAGTGCTTGCACAGGGGCAATGGGTGTCTTGGACATGGAAGAATTGCTCATGTATATATATATACATATATCAATTAAATAGATTTAAAAATTAGTTGAATTGAATTAGTTTATTTGGATTTATTGAATCTAAATTAATGGGTTTCATTATTATGCATGATTATTTGTTTTTAAAAGGCGTGTATGAGTGTTGCTGATGTCTATTATAGTCATTTTTGTTTAGGATATAATTGTCATTAAATTAATATTTCATTAAGTGTGTGCCCTGAACTAATTAAGGCCAAGTTTGGCTACTACAAAATAATCCATCTTTTTATCTTTTTATATTTTTTCCATTACATCACCTCTCTACTTTTCTACACATCTTTTCGTAAAAAGACAAAAAGTGCACTTATTTAGGTCATCCCAAACAACCCCTAAGTGTGTGGAAATAGAATTTCCCGTAAGAATGGTTTGCATACTATAAAAAAAAACTAAAAAAAAGACTTAGCTAATGCTCCTATTAACTAAATAAAAAATAAAAAAAATTAGCTAATGCTCCTATTAGCTGGAACTGTAGTGGATGATGCATGGATCATGGTGTTGGATGATCTATCGCGGGGGGGCGGGGGGTGTTACATCGATCTTAAAGTTGGCCACAAATAGAGACCTATGCCATTTTAAACAACGGAGTGCATAGTCATGCTTTCCAATTTTTGTATGCATTTAAGGATGGATTGAATTGGTTTGTGCTTATTACTTTTATTTCTATTGCAGTGATCCCTTCAAAATCTAGAATTGGCAAGGGGGCACTAGCTGGCATTGTAGTAGGAACATTTGCAGGTGCAGTTATATTATCTGCTGTTGTGTCACTTCTCATGTGGAGATTGCATATGAACAAATACGCTACAGTTTCAAAAAGACGTCGATGTGAGTATCTTATAATTACCAATATCTGAGGTGGAAGTAAATTTATCATGATTCTCTATTGTTTTGTCCCTACTTTTTGTAGTTGACCATAAGTATTTCAAAATGTTGGCAAGTTTGATAAATATTCTAATTATTGATTCTATTAAAAATATATATATAAAATACTCAGATCTATTATAGTAGTCATTGGCTGCTTTAAACCGAGGTAGCTATTTGATATTTTTTGAATGATCTGGTTTCAATATATGAAGTATATCATGATAGCTTTCGTAAATGAACAGGAAGCTGCCAGTTTTCAAATTTCAGCTGTTCTATGGATACATGAAAGTGATGTATACGCATATTATCCCTCTGGAATTACCCTTCCAACTTATCAAAATAGCATGCTTGATTTTTGTTGAGATTGAAACTTCAAAAAATAGTTTTATAATGGGCAAACTTACGTAAACACTTGTTCAACCCTGAGTAATAGGATTTAAAATTACCATGATTTATCATGGGCCTTGTGGGCTTGTAGAATGCATTCACCTTCCAAGACCAATTAAAGGCACAAGTGCTTATAGCTTGGAACTTGGGATTACATTGTAAATTAACCCCCCCCCCCCAAAAAAAAAAAAAAAAAAAATTATGAACTATACTTGATAAAGATTCTCTACATTGAGATGTAATTCATTGGTGAAGGATGGATTGAATTTCAATAATTAAGACATTGTTAACTTATGTCAACAATCAATGCTTAAAATAAAAATTTGCTTTTGTGTTATAATTATTAGATGCATCAGCTATGTGGTGCCAATGAATTGAAGTAGCATGGATTTGGATCTGATGAATAACTGTTATTATCATATGTAACACTGGACCCACATCATCTATTTTGCAGTATCTAAGATCACTATCAAAATTGCTGGTGTGAAAGATTTTTCTTATCAAGAGATGGCACTGGTGACTAACAATTTTGATGCCTCCAGTCAAGTTGGACAAGGTAGGTATGGGAAGGTCTACAAAGGTATTCTAGCTGACGGCACAGTTGTGGCCATAAAACGTGCACTAGAAGGGTCATTGCAGGGTGAGAAGGAGTTTCTCACTGAAATAGAACTATTGTCAAGGTTACATCATCGTAACTTGGTCTCTTTGCTTGGATTCTGTGATGAGGAAGGTGAACAGGTACTTCACTACCTATTTGAATGTTTAATTTCAAAATTCTCCTACATTTATTTTATGGTATATTTATCCGTCACTTTAATGTACTGTTTGGCTCATATTAATGTGCATCAGTGAACAATTGAGCAACATCCAATGAAAAATAGATTAATGTAAAAAAAAAAATGGAAAGGATTACTTGCAAAAATGGAAGATGCGAAGTTATATTTTAGCTATTTTAAATAATGGTAGGAAAAAAAAAACAAAATGGTTCAACTCAAGTGGAGAAATGGTAATTTTGGTTCAGTTTGTTTCCAAGCTAAGTACGAGGGGGAGGGGGGGGAAAGAATATTCTATGCATTTCTCTTCTTCATACAATTATTTTATTTCTCTACCAGCTATGGAAGCTTCTATCTTGTACCATGAAAGTCGGTTACCTCACATGATTACTCTTTTTTGGCATGTAGATGTTGGTTTACGAGTTCATGTCCAACAGCGCGTTGAGGGATCACTTATCTAGTGTATTCTATAAACTTCTTCTAAATTTGCTTCTTATTATTCTTACTTTTTTAATATGGGTATTCCGTGGCAACTCTGATTGGAATTAGTATTAACCAAGACTATAATTTCAGTCAATGTACATGTTAATTACTCAGTGATTGAATATATGTTTAATATTTATGGTGCCTCAGGTGCGGCTAAAGAGCCTCCAGGTTTTGCTATGAGATTGAGAATTGCACTAGGTTCATCTAAGGGCATCCTTTATCTACATACGGAAGCTGATCCTCCGATATTCCATCGAGATGTCAAGGCCAGCAACATATTGTTGGATTCTAAATTTACTGCAAAAGTTGTTAATTTTGGACTTTCCCGACTTACCCCTGTTCCTGATATTCAGGGAAAGACGCCTGGTCATGTATCGACTGTTGTTAAGGGGACACCAGTAAGCTCGAGTCTTTTAGATGACATCTTTTCACAGAATATTGAAGCAGGAATTTTTTACCCGAACTCAAAATAAGAAATGTATATATATATATAATCTTATGGTGTTGGTATGCCATTATGCAACCTGATATCTTAGAACCATCCTAAAAGATATAATAGTTAATACTGGTTAAAATTGTTGATATGTGAAACTTGATCATAAGACGAAGTGAGTGTTGTATGCATTTTATTGGCAAGGCTACTTAGAATCTTTTTTAACATTAAGAATTTAGTGATTCTAGAGTGAAATTGAAACAACATTTTTCGTGCAGGGATACGTTGATCCAGAGCACTTCCTCACTCATAAACTGACTGACAAAAGTGATGTTTGTAGTCTTGGCGTTGTATTTCTAGAGCTCTTGACAGGAATGCATCCAATCTCACATGGCAAAAACATTGTTCGAGAGGTGAGTTCCTCCAAACTTCTTTCTTCCGAAAGCAGTGTATATGAATGCATATCATATGTTTTAGTGACACATATTGCCCGGGACACATCTCACTGTTCAAATCTCTCCATTCGCTTCAACTTTCACGTATAAATTTGTAGATGAAAATTTATCCCAAGTTCAGAAAACAAATATTGCATTGGGTGATTAAAAACGAAAGAAAAAAACCCATGTTGCGTAGCTCACTGCCTGTTGTTTAACTCCAGCCCACATGGAAAAGTAGTTGGAGGTTGGCTGGTTGGCCGTCCAAGTCAAGAAGTAGAAGGGGAGATGGTAGGTGGCAGCCCTCCCAATTACTCCTCTTCCTTGACTTTGTTCCCTCCTGTTTGTGTATAAAAAGGGAAGATGTGAGCTAAGTTAGTTCATCAGAAAGAGAAAGACAAAGCAGAGAGTATAATCTGTGAGTGAGAGTGCTATAGAAAGAGTTGTGAGGTGGTGAGGTGTGAGTGTTGTAAACTCTCTCCGGAAAAATTCTATAGTGGATATCTCTCCCGTGAATGTAGGCTATTGTTGAACCACATAAATATCTTGTCTCTTTTCTGTGTGTGATTGATTTCCGAGTGTTCTTAATCCTAACAAGTGGTATCAGAGCCCAGAATTGCAAAGTAGAGCCCCAGACGAGGCTCCACGCGCTCTCACGCGCCACTCAAAGAATGCGAGTGAATCCTAGTTGCAGGCACGCGCTTCACGTGTCGTTACCTGTGTCGGTGTGTCATCTCAGTTGCGGACACGCGCCAGACAAGCGACTGAAGGAAGGAGAGTATTCCGCACGTGATACTGACGTCACTGCCATGTCAGTACCACATCATCACCACGTCACTACCACGTCAACCCAAAGCAGTGCCACGTGTCTACTACGTCATCATGCCTAGTTAACTCGTCGGGTTGACCCGACCCGACCCAGAAGCAAAGGGATTATCTGGTGCTACGCAACTAAGGTACATTCGTAGATCTAAACCGTTGAACTTATTTTGGCTAGATCTGAGTCATTTGAAGTCTGATTTTGACGATCCAATAGTGGTTTCTAACTATTTGGAGTATTCTGGAGAGATCCATATGGTCAGATTTTTGAATCAGAGTTTCTGTGAAAAGTAAGAAGACGATGGAGGAATCCACATCAACTTCAGGATCCATAATCAAGTTGAATCCTTCCAATTATGCAATCTGAAAGTTGCGGATGGAAGACATCCTATATTATAAAGACCTGTTTGACCCTATTGCTCTAAAAGGGGTTAAACTGGAAGAAGTAAAGGATGAAGACTTGATAAAGATGAACTAAAAGACTGTCGGTTGTATTAGACAATGGATAGACCACAATGTATTCCACAATGTCGCCCAGGAGACAGATGCATATGTCCTTTGAACAATGTTAGAAGGAATGTACCAGTCAAAGACCACCCGAAACAAAGCCTTGGTGATGAGAAAGCCTGTAAATTTGAAGTTGAAGAATGGTGTTTCTATCGCCGAGCACACCAGTGAATTCAAGAATCTTGTGAATCAACTTGGATGATGAAATGCAAGCCGTTCTACTGCTTAGTTCTTTACTGGACGGTTGGGAGACGTTGGTGGTTTCTCTCTGTAACTTTGCACCAGAAAGGAAGCTGACCATATGCATTGTCACAGACGCCATGTACAATGAAGAGACAAGGATGAAAGACATAGGAGGTAATCAGTCCCATGCTCTTGTCACAGAAGATATGGTAGAGATAGAGGTAGAGACAAAGGTAGAGGAAGAGGTAGAGGAAGAAGTAAGAGTAGAGGCAGATAGAACAACAGGAGTAAATCTAGAGACAATAAAAGTCAAGGTAACTCTAGCTTCACTCGCTTTTGCTGTGGCCAGGAGGGTCACATAAAGAGAAACTATCCAAGCTGGAAAGATAAAGGTCAAAGCAGTAAGTCAAAAGGAGATAAAAACACGACAGTCACAAGAACTGATGAAATACTACTTGCAGTTGGTGAAGAGGAGGTTTGCCTTCACGTGTTTGACCACAGCTGTACAGAGTGGGTGATAGACATAACTGCATCCTATCACGCCACTTTCCATAGAGAACTCTTCAGCTCGTACAACATTGGAGATTTTGGCACTGTTCGAATAAGAAATTCTAGCTGTTCGAAGATTGTGGGCATTGAAAACATTAGTATTTAGACTAATGTCGGACACAAGCTGGTTCTCAAAGATGTGAGACATGTTCCAGATTTGCGCCTCAATCTTATCTCCGGAAGCTCCCTGGATCGACAAGACTATACAAGTACATTTGGAAATGGCAGTTGGAAGCTGACATGAGGAGCTTTGACAATCGCCAGAGGAGAGATGTCTTCGACACTACACAAGACTCAAACAAAGATCTGTCTGGGAAGTCTTAATGTAATAGAAGACAAGGAGTCACCAGACTTATGGCACAGAAGACTAGCTCATATGAGCGAGAAGGGATTGCATTTGTTGGCAAAGCAATCCAAGATACCCTTGTCTAAAGGGAGTGCCCTGAAGCCATGTGATCATTGCCTTTATGGCAAGCAACATCGAGTATCATTTAGTTCAACGAGTAAGAGGAAAACAGAAGTGCTCAGTATGGTATACTTGGATGTTTGTGGCCCAATCGAAGTGGCGTCACTTGGCGACTGCAAGTATTTTCTGACTTTCATTGATGATGTGTCAAGGAAGTTGTGGATATATTTCCTGAAGACAAAGGATGAAGTATTCCAGCACTTTTAAAAGTTCCATGCAATGGTGGAAAGAGAGACCGGGAAGAAGTTGAAGCGGCTTCGCACAGACAATGGTAGCAAATACACTTCCAATGCCTTTGAAGCATATTATGCTAGCAGAGGTATCCGGCACAAGACAATAGTTCCTGGTACCCCACAACACAATGGTGTAGTAGAGAGGATGAACTGCACTATTGTTGAAAGAGTCAGATGCATGCTCAGAATGGTAAAGTCGCCAAAGTCATTCTGGGCTGAAGTTACCCGTACAACTTGTTATCTCATAAACATGTCACCTTCAGTCCCGTTGAACTTTGCGATACCTGAGGAAGTCTGGTCCAGAAGAAAGATATCATATTCTTACTTGAGAGTCTTCAGGTGTAAGGCGTTCACACACATCTCCAAGGAAAACAGACAGAAGCTTGATGACAAGTCCACTCCATGTATATTTGTGGGTTATTCAGATGCAGCATTTGGGTAGAAGTTGTGGGACCCAGTGAACAAGAAGATGTTTAGGAGCAGAGATGTTGTGTTTCACGAAGACCAAACAGTAACAGATTTTGAGAAGTCTACAAAGTCTAGAGATGTCATCACTCCAGACTTGTTCCCATCTCCCGAGCCATCAAAAAATGCTAGATGTGATGATGTGCAACAAGAAGTGCCAGAGTTGTAGGATCCTATGCCAGAAATTGAGAATCAGGAGGAAAGAGATGAAAACCAGGATGAAGAGGGTGTTGAGCAGGGAGCAACCCCCTCAATCAGAGGCAACTGGGCCTCAGTTGCGGAGATCTGGAAGAGCTGCCGTGCCATCAACCATATATCTCGCTTCTTAGTATATTCTGATTATTGATGAAGGGGAGCCTGAGAGTTTTTTGGAAGCAAAGAGTCAATATAGAAAAAGATTGATAGATACAAGCCACGAAGGAGGAAATGAGTTCTTTGCAAAAGAACAACACTTATGAGCTTGTTTCACTTCCAAATGGTAGGAAGGCATTAAAAAACAAATGGGTGTACAAATTGAAGAAAGATGGCAACGGTAAAATACTGCAGCGTAAAGCTCGCTTGGTGGTCAAAGGTTTTGGGTAGAAGAAAGAATTGATTTTGATGAGATTTTCTCCCCAGTTGTGAAGATGACTTCCATTCGAGTAGCTCTGGGATTAACAGCTTGCTTGAATCTGGAGGTAGAACAAATGGATGTCAAAACTGTCTTTCTCCATGGTGATTTGGAGGAAGAGATCTACATGGAACAACCAGAAGGATTTGAAGTTAAAGAAAAACATAACCTAGCCTGCAAACTGAAGAAGAGTCTCTATGGCCTGAAGTAGGCACCAAGACAATTATACAAGAAGTTTGATTCATTCATGGTGGATTATGAGTACACAAGAACAGTAGCAGACCAATGTGTATATTTCTGAAGGTTTTCAGATGGAAATTTCATCATCCTACTGCTGTATGTCAATGATATACTGATCATCGATATGATATTGCTATGATCAACAAGTTGAAAAAGGACTTGTCACAGTATTTTGACATGAAGAATTTAGGCCCAGCACAGTAGATTTTGGGCATGAAGATTGTTTGTGACAGGAAAACCAAGAAGATCTGGTTATCACATGAGAAATATGTTGAACGGGTGATTGAAAGATTCAACATGAAAGATGCCCAAGCCAGATAGCACTACTGGCAACCATTTCAAGGTGACAAAGCGTTCGTGTCCCACGACTAGCTCTGAAAGGAAATAAATGGAGGCAATCCCCTATTCCTCTGCAGTAGGAAGTTTGATGTATGCAATGGTGTGTATCCGGCCAAATATAGTTCACGCAGTTGGCGTTGTGAGCAGATTCCTCGCCAATCCAAGAAGGAGCATTAAGAGGTTGTCAAATGAATTCTTCGGTACTTGAAGGGAACTTCAAAGATGTGTCTATGTTTTGGGGAGCTGAACCAATTTTGGAGGGTTTTATAGATGCCAATATGGCGGGTGATCTTGATAGTAGAAAGTCTACATCAGGATTTTTATTCACCTTTGCAGGTGGAGCTGTTTCATGGCAGTCCAAACTACAAAAGTGCGTTGCTTTATCTAAAACAGAAGCAGAGTACATTGCTGCCGCAGATGCTAGAAATGAAATGTTGTGGTTAAAGCGGTTTCTCCAAGAATTGGGTCTACAGTAAGAAGAGTACAAGGTACATTGTGATAGTCAGAGTGCAATTGATTTGAGCAAGAATTCCATGTACCATTCGCATACAAAGCACATTGATGTTCGGTATCATTGGATACGAGAAATGATGGAAAAGCAGCTGATGAAGCTAGTGAAGGTTCACACGGACAAGAATCCTTCTAACATGATGACCAAGGTTGTCACCAGAGACAAATTGAAAGTTTGCAAGAATCTAACCGGCATAGACTTCAAGTAAGTCAGTTATCTATATAGGCGTGGAGGGGGAGAATTGTTAACTCCAGCCCACATGGAGGAGTAGTTGGAGGTTGGCTGATTGGCTCTCCAAGTCAAGAAGTAAAGGGAGAGATGGCAGGTGGCAACCCTCCCAATTACTCATTTTCCTTGACTTTGTTCCCTTCTTTTTGTGTATAAAAAGTGAAAAGGTGAGCTGAGTTAGTTCATCAGAAAAAGAAAGACAAAGCAGAGAGTGTAATCTGTCAGTGAGAGTGCTATAGAGAGAGAGTGAGGTATGAGTGTTGTAAACTCCTTCCGGAAAAATTCTATAGTGGATATCTCTCCCATGTACGTAGGCTATTGCCGAACCACGTAAATATCTTGTCTCTTTTCTGTATGTGATTGATTTTGGACTGTTCTTAATCCTAACATGTTGCAATTTCATATGCATTCAATTGTTGTGTTTTATGTTTACTTTTCCCAACTGTATCAGGTAAATGTGGTATATTGATTTGGAATGATCTTCTCAGTCATTGACAAAAAAATGGGATCTTATCCTTCTGATTGTGTGGAGAGGTTTGTGAACTCAGCTCTCAAGTGTTGTCAAGATGAAACAGATAACCGGCCTTCAATGTCAGAGGTGGTTAGAGAACTCGAAAGCATATGGCTTATGATGCCAGAGTCAGACACCAAAACATCAGAATCTTTGATCGCAAACCCTGGGAAGGTTGTGACCCCACCATCTTCATCGTCTGATTTGAAGAATCATGCTCCTTTTGTATTAGGAGACATCTCTGGCAGTGACCTTATTAGTGGAGTCATTCCCACCATTACGCCTAGATAAGAAATGCTATAGTTCTTGTTGCCCTTGGGATGGCACTACAACAATTAACACTTTTAGCAACAAAAAAATTGGTCGCTAAAAGTCTATTTTTGGTCGGCAAAAGTTATTCGCGACCAATTTTTTTGGTCGCTAGTTTGGTCGCCAATTGAGGGTCGGCAAAAGTAATTCGCGACCAAAATTTTCATTGGTCGGCAAAAAAAGTTGGATTTGCCGACTAATTTTTTGGTGCGGTAAATATTTAGTTACCCGGCGACTAATTCATTTTGTCGCTAAAGAACTTTGGTCGCGAAAAGTCGTCCGTTTTGCCGACCAATTTCTTAGTGCCATTGACACATTTCGCGACCA